TTTTCTATATAGTAAGTTCATCTACAATCTGATATTTCCATATAAATAATTGCATTTTATCTCATTAAGGCACAGCGTGGCGGCAGGCCAGATCTGGCCCGCAGGCTGTAGTGACCCTTGCCTTACAGGATAGCAAAGTGGATCATAGCTACAAGTACATTGGAGCAATTTACAGATCTTTGGGCACTAGAATCAGGGAACATCAAGATACCATTAGGAAACACCTATATATGACTGGCTTAGTAGCCTTTGCTTTTGACTATGACACTGATGTTCAGTTACAACCCAACTTAAATATTTGGAAACTTTCAAAATTTATAAGGCTAGTAAGAAAAGGATTGCAATTAACTCTAAAGATTCTTCAGTGGTGTCACATGTAAAGTTGTCAATGGGGAGAATGTCAAGAGGGTCAAGGGGTCACTAAAATTTGTTTGTGGCTGAGACAGGCTCTAGAGTTACAAGAAACCATTTATTCGACATAAAAGGAACAAGGTATATTAAATACTTGGATTGGATGTCACACCAACAGTTGTGTTAATTCAATTAGAAACTTCAGACTAGGAGGCATTAAACTCTTTAACGCCTCCTAGTCTGAAGTTTCTAATTGAATTAACAAAAGGAGCTAACTAGATTTATGCAATCTTGGAAGTTCTAAGTCAGCACTGGCCTCTGAGTCTTCCTCTCCTTTCCAAGATAGTCCCAAATGAAAGAATGTCCCTGGTTCATAAATGACAGTTTTCTTGACATCTCTGGGATGATGCAGTTGACTTCTGTGATGGGAAAATGTCGATCCAAGGATGGGAGATGGAGATGAAGATGGACACAAGACACACACAACAATTAGTCCGACACTTAGAATTTTCAGGAGAAGAAACTATCACGTCCTAGAATTCCCAGGCTTTTATAAATTTCTATCCTTGATTGCCCATTCAGATTGATTGATTTTCCTCATCCTCACTTTCTAAGTGGTTGATCACTCATTACTAAGTGTAACAAGGTCTCAACTTAGATTGTTGGAGAGGTCAAAATCAAAGTTTAATTTAATCCCCAACAAGAAATGGTCAATCTTAGGACTTACATTCTTCTATTGTTTTAAACTTTGCATCATGTTTACATACAAAAAAATATTTCTAGTTTCTTTTTGTTTTTTTCTTTCAAAAAATATTTTAAAACAAATTTTAGTGAGAGTTCGAACCTGTCCAGAGTCTCACACACATGCTTCGAGAGCATTATTTGAAGTTTTATTGTTTTGTTTATCACATTTTTTGCTATATTAATGTTTTTTATTTACAATATTTGTCTATATTGCTGTATTGTTTAATTATTTTATTTTACATATTATATTTTTCTTATTAATAATTTATTCCTGTTTTCTATGTTTTATTTGATATATTTATGCTTCTGCACACATGACTTGCTATATAAATTTGTAATTTTTGAATGCATATAATTTCAAATATGCTTTCAAAAAGAATGATATATAATGAATAGTAAATTCATTATATTCCATTCTTAGAACCTGAAGATGGACATTGTACATGGTCAAAAACATTCGTTCCATTATTAAACATTCTGTTTTTACTGGATTTAAGATTTTTTTCATATTAATTTCAGTAAAGATGAATAAAATGTTAAAAACATTATATCTGTATTTTTTATATTTCTGTAAGAGAACTCAAAATTGAGAANATTGGGTTTATGAAGAAAAACTTCATACTTGCAGACTTTGTACTCGTTTGTATTCTTGCCCAATTTGCACAATCTGACGTTACGCAGTTATCGAAGCTACCGGGCATGGTTAAAAATTAAGACAGCATAAGCACAGTTGTTCCAGATATTACGGGTTCTGACAAGTAAAGAATTTTCAGAGTCCTGCCACAAATAAGCTACGTACTGATTATTGACCATTTGTGACATGCCATAATAAACAAAAATTTAAAAAACTAATAAGTAGTTTTAAAATTAATAAATACAAATGTATTCTGACAGTTTGTGAGTTAATTATACTTTCTATTTGCAAAATTTCCTCAACCTTAACACAAAATAAGAAAAAAGTGAACTTTTAAGAAATTTGTGGAATTTTCCGGAATGAGAAGAATTTCCCGGGTTAAAAAAACAATCGGGATCTCATTTGAGAAACCCTAATACTGATGAAATACATCATATTTATAATTAAACTGCTTTAAAAACTAATTGTTAGTTATAGTACATTCATATCTGGCAACACTGTGTGTGCTTGTTGTTCTTTCTTCGTTGTTCAGGTTTCAGAAATTGGTGAAACAGCAAATGTAAATGTGTATTACTTGATAAGTAAAGTAATCAAGTAGAAAGGAAAAGGTAATATTTTCATTCATTAATTTAACACTAATTTATTCAATAATTTATTCAACAAAAGCCTCTAAAAACAAATTTATAGCTCAGAAAGTTTCTATATTTAATTATATATACGTAAATGTCAAATATCAAAGCTAATTTGGATGAATTTCTTTAATATTTTTTTTAATAAGTTAATGTCGTGAATTAATAAATATTAATAAAATACTAAAAGTTTCAATTTATAGTAATTAAACTTTAACTTAAAATTAACATTAATAAAAAATAATTTCTACAATTAAACTACAAATTATTATAATAAACATAACAATAATGTAATATTATCACAACAAAGCCCTGCTTTATAGCAGACGAATTACTATAACAACGAAATTTCCATGCATTCTATTTATTGAAAACAATTATACTTCACACAACCTTTTAGTATGAAGCCTTTTTTTATTACTCTTCAAATGCTTTTGTTCTGTAGAAATTGGAATCGTTTGATTTTGTTTCCCGAAGGTCAATTAAATGACCAAAAACGTTTGAAGAGTAATAAAAAAAGGTTGCATACTAAAATGGTGTTTGAAGTGTGATTGTTTTTAATTAAGTGCAGTTTGAGAAAAGTGATTCTATATATTTAAATAGTATTTAAATAAAATTTAAACAGTGATTCAGATACAACAGCTCCATTTTAACTCTTCAACCAAAGAGACCACTTTGAAAGCAGCAATCCTTTAGTGTTTTGATTAATGTTTTTGAAGAAATTTGCATTTTACCTTCAGATCTTTTAGCATTTAAATGTTTCATTCAAATGCTTATGGATCTGTATCTATTTAAAATTGAATTTAAAAACTTTTTAAATATTTAGTTTTTTAATAATTTNATTTTGTTCTAACATAAGAATTCCAGTAATAGAAATTTCAGTTCTATTACCACATCATCCTATTACTACATTTGTTATAAATTACATCTATGTAAGTTTTTAGATTTGTAATTTTTTAAATTAATCATTGTATTTTGTAAATAGTTTTTTATATTTTGGTAGATGGAAGAAAGTTCAGCAGTTACTGATTTGAAATGCATATAATAAAAATAATTTGTTAAAATACATATCTGAGTGATTCCTAGTCTCTATTAATTGTTAGAAGGGTATTGCAGATGTGCTAATTGTCAAAAAACCTCTTTTAAGTGCTTGTGTAAATAACTAAAATATCTGATATTATATTGGTGATTTTAGCTTAGTTTTATTACAATAAAAATGTTATAATATTTTTTATTTGTAATAAAATAGTAATAGAATTTAGAGGGGATGTATTAGGATTCAAAGAAGGCTGATATGAAAATGAAAATAAAAATTACTGAAAGTATTGCAATGGATAATTGCTCACAAATATAAAAATTTATATCATCATCTTAACTAAGATTTAATGTATAACCTATGTATTCTACATTTTCACATAAAAAATAAAATGATATACAGACTGGTATACAATACGCTTAATATAATATATGCTAAGACTATAAAACTTCTGATAAAACAACAGAAATACAAATTATTATTATAGAAAACTTTTAATGAAAATATTTTAAATATCACTGTCTGATAGTAAAATTCCCAAAATCACATTCAAACACTATATTACATAAGCAATAATATAGTAATTGATTAATCTTAATGCTTAATAAATGTAAACTCCCTTTTAGCTTAAGAAATTTCATTAACAGCTATTTTTTAATGACCAAAATACTTACTTAATTAAATAAATTAAAATATTTGAAATAATCAAAAATAAAAAATGTGCAGAATAAATAAATTCCAAAACTGAAATTACTATATTGAAGTTTTTTACTTATCAGTGCTAAAAATTTTCATATATAGATATGGAGAATGCATTTTATCAAGTAGCAAACCTATATAAAATTTAAACATTGTATAACAACTACAGTGAAATTCCATTAACACAGCATCTGGTATGCTGGCAAACTGATAAGGCAAAATGTCCAGCTTGTTTTTGGGGAGGGAGTATCAGTGCATTGGGTATTCATTTGTATTTATATGCAACTAGGTAGCCAGTCAATTAAACCTATAAATAATACTTAAATTTATAAATATTTAATTTAAATTTAAAATTAAATTAAAATCAAAGTCAAATTAATTGAAACATGACATTTCAAAAAGTGTGAATAAAGTACTTGTCCATCTTAATTGATTTGGATATATTTCATCCAGGCAGTCAAAGTTGAGTCTCTATTTATAGCACTTCTTTGTAAAGTTTTAGTTTTGGTTAACAGTGACATAACATTTTGCATTTAATGTGTAAAATGTACAGAATATAGGTATATAGAAAGAGATATAGTTATAGATATAGAATAGAGTATATACAGATAAAAGTATACAAAGCACAAAGTAAGATTAATGTGTTTTAAAACTGTTTCAAACCAACAAAGAGTAGAAATAATCTGGAAAATTTGAAATGATGTGTTAAATAATTATAAAAGACAGATTTGTAATTTTTACATGCAAAGATATGTAAAATTGTGTCCAGGGAATTGAAAAAACCAGAAAAAACTCCATCGTCCAATAAGTCAGCATATTTGATAACCTAGTACCACGTTGGGCCCAACGATGCCATGTTAATGGAATTTCACTGTACTTTTTGAATAATTATAAACAAATTACTTACGTTTTTAATAAACTACGTATATGATCAAAGTCCACCTGAGGGAAGAAACTATGTAATTTCTGCACAACAGCTTCATCAACCTGTAATGGTTCGGAATCAGGATGCTGGAAGTAATTTATAATTCATTTATATCAAACATGGAATAAAATCTGAATGAAAAGTATTGTGATAATATATTATAACAAAGATAACAACAACTACAATAATAATAAGTAACTAAATGTATTAATTAAAATAAACTAAATTGCAAAATAATTTCTAAAATTATCATAAATAATAATTTTAATTGAATGTATTTTATTGATAAAACTATACTCTATCAAATAATTGTTTCAACAAACAGAATTTAAAGAGAAAATAAAGATAAATTAAAAGAGAAGAAATGAAATTTCTTTTTTTTAAGTGTTTAATATATGCCTCTAAAAAAATTTATGAGTTTTATAATATATTTTCAGATTTAATGTCCTTTTGGAATAACATTCATTTAAATTTTATACCTATAATTTTAATTATCTTCATAACTCTAAAGAAAAAAGTAAGAAACATACACCTACTATGTACTCACAGCAAGCTGGAAATCAAAACATACCACTTTCTTCTCAAGCTTGTGAGTCTTCAATCAATTTTTTCACAAAGTTCTTTAAAGCAAAATTTATATCTAACTTTTGTAGACTAAACCTAATGCCCATTTATGAATAAATTAAATTATTGACAAAATGAGACATAGAAAAGAGAAGAAAAGAAGGAAGAAGAGCTAAGATACAAATGATTATCCAAGAAACCTAAAGCTAAATATTGACTACCAAAAGTTTAATAAATAAGAGCAAAAGTTTAGCAGATATTAATATATGCTTGGATACCATGAGTTATATTTGCTGATATTGATATTTTTATACTTATCATTTTATTACATAAATAACTCATCTCTTTAGAAATCAATATTTCAATAAAACAAACTTTTTGCTTTGTTATACTTGTTAAATGCAGTTTCCAAAATATAAACATTAAATATTTAAAATCAAAATTACACAACGATGTGTATCATAAAGTGTATGTTAGTAAGTTTTAGTCAATTATTATTTGTATATCTTCAAGTTTAATCTATCTAATCTAAATCTAAGTATAATCTATTCATTTAAAAGGCACTGTTTTTGTTAGCACTTTATTCTCATAATAATAATCGATTATTTTTTTAATTCAGTAAAGATGAAAAAAACTCCAAAACTGGATGTATTTACTAAAATTAATACCAAAAAGCTCTTAAATCCAGTAAAAATGGAATGTTTATTAACGGAACAAATGATTCAACCTTGTACAATGGCCATCTCCAAGTTCTAGAATGGAATATAATGAATAGAATAGAGAGCAAGTTTGAAATTATATACATTTGAAAATTACAAATTTACATAGTCATAAAAGTCTGCTTCACCTTCAAGTTATGTCAAGAGAATTCTTAATCAATTTATTAAGGTGAACTTCCAACAATCTTCACATATAATTACTAGTCCTTTACTCACAGTCTATGGTACATTGCTACACAGTGACAAATTTACTTCATGGTATGTGATTTTCAGCTGATTTTTCCTTTATCAAAATTGAACCTTGCTTCTATGAATTTCATAATTTTCACCTTTCCAACATTACTCAATTGGACAAATATCATTCTACAATCTTGGACTTAGCACACATCATTTGTCATTCCTCCTTTTTCATCTTTGAGAGCTCCACATAACTCCAAACTAAAAGTGTATTGATGGGTAGCTCCACTTCAGGTACAAAGAGCTCACATAGGTTACCTATGTGAGCTCTTTGTAGGACATTTCAAGCAAGAAGCTCTTTTTGAATTTGAGCACCTGATTTTGCTTTATACCAAATAGGTGGATGATATCTTAATTATTTGGTCTTGTGAACCCCAATCTCAGAATTCCTTGATAGCATTAACAACAATCCATATGGCTTACTACTCCACCTTGAACAACAAAGTGATTATGATTACCAAGCCTGTTTCCTTGTTGTACTTATCACTGTAAGTAATGGCTCTCTCTACTGATGTTTACTATAAAAGTTCTTTCAAGCCATTATTCATTCCTCCATCTTTGCATAGTCCATTTTCTTATAAGCTAGCTGCTTTCAAGGCCCTAGTTAAGAGCCTAAACCCATTGTTCCAACTCTCAACTCAGGGACCAAGAGCTACATTGTATCTTCCATAAAGTAACAGCTCATGATTACCAACTGAAGTTTACAGTCATACATCATTATTACAATCAGATGAATTCCAGGTGTGATGATGGTAGGACTGTCTCTTTAGGACTGTCATCTACCTACAACAAAGTTTTATGGGATATCTTGAAGGAATTAGCAAAACTCTCCAACTTTAGAATCAAATACAGATGAAGCCCTACTACATTCTCATTACTCAGAAATAATAATGATCATGCTAATGAGAGGACTCTACCCGAGATCTACTCAATTCCCTTACAGCAGGGGTCACCAAACTTTTTCCACAACGGGCCAGATAACTGAGAGAATGCCAAGTGCGGCCTGCATAACCAGTTTGTTCAATATAGTATACTAAATACACAAAAAATAAAGAAAACCAACATATTTATTTCCCAATACACAAAGACGACCACTACAGCAAGCACATAATTGCTTTTCTTACAAACTTCATTGCAGATACTTACACAAAAAGCGCTCTGATATCCAAAGTCACAAAAAGTTGCTAAATCTTTTATTTCTCTGATTTTCCTAAAATTATATTACTGTCAAATGCAAAAATCAGATTGGACCAATTTTGGCATTTTTACTTACATTTATTTTAAGTTTTTCTATATAGTAAGTTCATCTACAATCTGATATTTCCATATAAATAATTGCATTTTATCTCATTAAGGCACAGCGTGGCGGCAGGCCAGATCTGGCCCGCAGGCTGTAGTGACCCTTGCCTTACAGGATAGCAAAGTGGATCATAGCTACAAGTACATTGGAGCAATTTACAGATCTTTGGGCACTAGAATCAGGGAACATCAAGATACCATTAGGAAACACCTATATATGACTGGCTTAGTAGCCTTTGCTTTTGACTATGACACTGATGTTCAGTTACAACCCAACTTAAATATTTGGAAACTTTCAAAATTTATAAGGCTAGTAAGAAAAGGATTGCAATTAACTCTAAAGATTCTTCAGTGGTGTCACATGTAAAGTTGTCAATGGGGAGAATGTCAAGAGGGTCAAGGGGTCACTAAAATTTGTTTGTGGCTGAGACAGGCTCTAGAGTTACAAGAAACCATTTATTCGACATAAAAGGAACAAGGTATATTAAATACTTGGATTGGATGTCACACCAACAGTTGTGTTAATTCAATTAGAAACTTCAGACTAGGAGGCATTAAACTCTTTAACGCCTCCTAGTCTGAAGTTTCTAATTGAATTAACAAAAGGAGCTAACTAGATTTATGCAATCTTGGAAGTTCTAAGTCAGCACTGGCCTCTGAGTCTTCCTCTCCTTTCCAAGATAGTCCCAAATGAAAGAATGTCCCTGGTTCATAAATGACAGTTTTCTTGACATCTCTGGGATGATGCAGTTGACTTCTGTGATGGGAAAATGTCGATCCAAGGATGGGAGATGGAGATGAAGATGGACACAAGACACACACAACAATTAGTCCGACACTTAGAATTTTCAGGAGAAGAAACTATCACGTCCTAGAATTCCCAGGCTTTTATAAATTTCTATCCTTGATTGCCCATTCAGATTGATTGCTTTTCCTCATCCTCACTTTCTAAGTGGTTGATCACTCATTACTAAGTGTAACAAGGTCTCAACTTAGATTGTTGGAGAGGTCAAAATCAAAGTTTAATTTAATCCCCAACAAGAAATGGTCAATCTTAGGACTTACATTCTTCTATTGTTTTAAACTTTGCATCATGTTTACATACAAAAAAATATTTCTAGTTTCTTTTTGTTTTTTTCTTTCAAAAAATATTTTAAAACAAATTTTAGTGAGAGTTCGAACCTGTCCAGAGTCTCACACACATGCTTCGAGAGCATTATTTGAAGTTTTATTGTTTTGTTTATCACATTTTTTGCTATATTAATGTTTTTTATTTACAATATTTGTCTATATTGCTGTATTGTTTAATTATTTTATTTTACATATTATATTTTTCTTATTAATAATTTATTCCTGTTTTCTATGTTTTATTTGATATATTTATGCTTCTGCACACATGACTTGCTATATAAATTTGTAATTTTTGAATGCATATAATTTCAAATATGCTTTCAAAAAGAATGATATATAATGAATAGTAAATTCATTATATTCCATTCTTAGAACCTGAAGATGGACATTGTACATGGTCAAAAACATTCGTTCCATTATTAAACATTCTGTTTTTACTGGATTTAAGATTTTTTTCATATTAATTTCAGTAAAGATGAATAAAATGTTAAAAACATTATATCTGTATTTTTTATATTTCTGTAAGAGAACTCAAAATTGAGAATGCTGATGAAATTAATGGTACAGTGGAACCCCGGTTAACGAACGTCCTGGTTAACGACCAAATCGGTTAACGAACTTTTATTTTGCAAAAATTTTGTCTCGGATAACGAACAAAATTCGGATTAACGAACTTAACGGCTTTTTGTGTCAAATTTGTAAGCTTGCCGACTTTTAGGGAAAATCAGTTAATCAGGGAAAATCAATTTAATAACCGTGTCAGTGATGGTCTAGGGTCCATTCGTACTACGTTGATGGTGGCGGAAGAGACAAAGATGACAAGTACTTTACAGTGAAAATCGTTTATTAGAACGGGAAGATGCTTACATATTTGAGATAGTTGGAAATGGCTTATCTACAGTATTTTCTCTCGGCACTGAGGAGTGGCGTATCGCTGGTCCTACGATAGTGCAAGCTGATCAGTCGTAGCCCCAGAGCAGACGAGATGGGTTCGCTTGGTCACAGAAGCGATGGTAGGTGACAGAGCTGCAACGACTGGAGCGGTCCGTGAGACACAACACAAATTTTAGCGGGCACGACTTCAGGCTTGATCCAGATGAAGACGACACAGATTAATCGCCATAGAATTTTTAGAAAAACTGGGTTGTGACCTTGAGATTCG